CTTGTGTCCGGACGCATGCTTGGGTCCGGACGCATGCTTGTGTTTGGACGCATGCTTGTGCCCGGTCGCATGCTTGTGTCCGGACGCATGCTTGTGTCCGGTCGCATGCTTGTGTCCGGACGCATGCTTGTGTCCGGACGCATGCTTGTGTCTGGACGCATGCTTGTGTCCGGACGCATGCTTGTGTCCGAACGCATGCTTGTGTCCGGACACATGCTTGTGTCCGGTCGCATGCTTGTGTCCAGACGCATGCTTGAGTCCGGTCGCATGCTTGTGTCCGGACGCATGCTTGTGTCCGGACGCATGCTTGTGTCCGAACGCATGCTTGTGTTCGGACGCATGCTTGTGTCCGGACGCATGTTGTGTCCGGACGCATGCTTGAGTCCGGTCGCATGCTTGTGTCCGGACGCATGCTTGTGTCCGGACGCATGCTTGAGTCCGGTCGCATGCTTGTGTCCGGACGCATGCTTGTGTCCGGACCGATGCTTGTGTCCGGACGCATGCTTGTGTCGGGATGCATGCTTGAGTCCGGTCGCATGCTAGTGTCCGGACGCATGCTTGTGTCCGGACGCATGCTTGTGTTCGGACGCATCCTTGTGTCCGGACGCATGCTTGTGTCCGGTCGCATGCTTGTATCCGGACGCATGCTTGTGTCCGGTCGCATGCTTGTGTCCAAACGCATGCTTGTGTCCGGACACATGCTTGGGTCTGGACGCATGCTTGTGTCCAGACGCATGCTTGTGTCCAGACGCATGCTTGTGTCCAGACGCATGCCTGTTCGGACGCATGCTTTTGTCCGGACGCATGCTTGGGTCCGGACGCATGCTTGTGTTTGGACGCATGCTTGTGCCCGGTCGCATGCTTGTGTCCGGACGCATGCTTGTGTCCGGTCGCATGCTTGTGTCCGGACGCATGCTTGTGTCCGGACGCATGCTTGTGTCCGGACGCATGCTTGTGTCCGGACGCATGCTTGTGTCCGAACGCATGCTTGTGTCCGGACACATGCTTGTGTCCGGTCGCATGCTTGTGTCCGGACGCATGCTTGAGTCCGGTCGCATGCTTGTGTCCGGACGCATGCTTGTGTCCGGACGCATGCTTGTGTCCGAACGCATGCTTGTGTTCGGACGCATGCTTGTGTCCGGACGCATGTTGTGTCCGGACGCATGCTTGAGTCCGGTCGCATGCTTGTGTCCGGACGCATGCTTGTGTCCGGACGCATGCTTGAGTCTGGTCGCATGCTTGTGTCCGGACGCATGCTTGTGTTCGGACGGATGCTTGTGTCCGGACGCATGCTTTTGTCCGGACGCATGCTTGAGTCCGGTCGCATGCTTGTGTCCGGACACATGCTTGTGTCCGGACGCATGCTTGTGTTCGGACGCATCCTTGTGTCCGGACGCATGCTTGTGTCCGGTTGCATGCTTGTGTCCGGACGCATGCTTGAGTCCGATCGCATGCTTGTGTCCGGACGCATGCTTGTGTCCGGACGCATGCTTGTGTCCGGACGCATGCTTGTGTCCGGACGCATGCTTGTGTCCAGACGCATGCTTGAGCCCGGACGCATGCTTGAGCCCGGTCGCATGCTTGTGTCCGGTCGCATGCTTGTGTCCGAACGCATGCTTGTGTCCGGACACATGCTTGGGTCCGGACGCATGCTTGTGTCCGGACGCATGCTTGGGTCCGGACGCATGCTTGTGTCCGGACGCATGCTTGAGTCCGGTCGCATGCTTGTGTCCGGACGCATGCTTGTGTCCGCACGCATGTTTGAGTCCAAACGCATGCTTGTGTCCGGACGCATGCTTGAGTCCGGACGCATGCTTGTGTCCGCACGCATGCTTGTGTCCGGACGCATGCTTGTGTCCGGACGCATGCTTGTGTCCGGTCGCATGCTTGTGTCCGGACGCATGCTTGTGTCCGGACGCATGCTTGTGTCCGGACGCATGCTTGTGTCCGGACACATGCTTGTGTCCGGACGCATGATTGTGTCCGGACGCATGCTTGTGTTTGGACGCATGCTTGTGCCCGGTCGCATGCTTGTGTCCGGACGCATGCTTGTGTCCGGTCGCATGCTTGTGTCCGGACGCATGCTTGTGTCCGGACGCATGCTTGTGTCCGGACGCATGCTTGAGTCCGGTCGCATGCTTGTGTCCAGACGCATGCTTGAGTCCGGTCGCATGCTTGTGTCCGGACGCATGCTTGTGTCCGGACGCATGCTTGTGTCTAGACGCATGCTTGTGTTTGGACGCATGCTTGTGCCCGGTCGCATGCTTGTGTCCGGACGCATGCTTGAGTCCGGTCGCATGCTTGTATCCGGACGCATGCTTGTGTCCGGACGCATGCTTGAGTCCGGACGCATGCTTGTGTCCGGACGCATGCTTGAGTCCGGTCGCATGCTTGTGTCCGGACGCATGCTTGTGTCCGACGCATGCTTGTGTCCGGACGCATGCTTGTGTCCGGACGCATGCTTGTGCCCGATCGCATGCTTGTGTCTGGACGCATGCTTGACTCCGATCGCATGCTTGTGTCCGGACGCATGCTTGTGCCCGGTCGCATGCTTGTGTCTGGACGCATGCTTGACTCCGGTCGCATGCTTGTGTCCGGACGCATGCTTGTGTCCGGACGCATGCTTGTGTCCGGACGCATGCTTGTGTCCGATCGCATGCTTGTGTCCGGACGCATGCTTGCGTCCGGACGCATGCTTGTGTCCGGACGCATGCTTGGGTCCGGACGCATGCTTGTGTCCGGACGCATGCTTGAGTCCGGTCGCATGCTTGTGTCCGGACGCATGCTTGTGTCTGCACGCATGTTTGAGTCCGGACGCATGCTTGTGTCCGGACGCATGCTTGGGTCCGGACTCATGCTTGTGTCCGGACGCATGCTTGCGTCCGGACGCATGCTTGCGTCCGGACGCATGCTTGCGTCCGGACGCATGCTTGTGTCCGGTTGCATGCTTGTGTCCGGACGCATGCTTGTGTCCGGACGCATGCTTGTGTTTGGACGCATGCTTGTGCCCGGTCGCATGCTTGTGTCCGGACGCATGCTTGTGTCCGGTCGCATGCTTGTGTCCGGACGCATGCTTGTGTCCGGTCGCATGCTTGTGTCCGGACGCATGCTTGAGTCCGGTCGCATGCTTGTGTCCGGACGCATGCTTGTGTCCTGACGCATGCTTGTGTCCGGACGCATGCTTGAGTCCGTTCGCATGCTTGTGACCGGACGCATGCTTCTGTCCGGACGCATGCTTGTGTCCGGACGCATGCTTGTGTCCGGTCGCATGCTTGAGACCGGTCGCATGCTTGTATCCGGACGCATGCTTGTGTCCGGACGCATGCTTGAGTCCGGACGCATGCTTGTGTCCGGACGCATGCTTGAGTCCGGTCGCATGCTTGTGTCCGGACGCATGCTTGTGTCCGACGCATGCTTGTGTCCGGACGCATGCTTGTGTCCGGACGCATGCTTGTGCCCGGTCGCATGCTTGTGTCCGGACGCATGCTTGTGTCCGGACGCATGCTTGTGTCCGGAGGCATGCTTGTGTCCGGTCGCATGCTTGTGTCCGGACGCATGGTTGTGTCCGGACGCATGCTTGTGTCCGGACGCATGCTTGTGTCCGGACGCATGCTTGTGTCCGGACGCATGCTTGAGACCGGTCGCATGCTTGTGTCTGGACGCATGCTTGTGTCCGGACGCATGCTTGTGTCCGGACGCATGCTTGAGTCCGGTCGTATGCTTGTGTCCGGACGCATGCTTGTGTCGGGAACGCATGCTTGTGTCCGGACGCATGCTTGTGTACGGACGCATGCTTGTGTCCGGACGCATGCTTGTGTCCGGACGCATGCTTGAGACCGGTCGCATGCTTGTGTCCGGACGCATGCTTGTGTCCGGACGCATGCTTGTGTCCGGACGCATGCTTGAGTCCGTTCTGTCAGAACTTATAGCTTACTTGTTTCTGTAGGCTATAGTGGGGTATCCCATAGGGGGTACAACCCAATTAGGGTTTCCTATTTGTACTCACTTCGTTCATAGTCATTTCATTCTCGTTCTTTGTTTCCACATGGAATCAGAGCAGGTTCCCTCCTAGGGACTGCTTCTAGGGCCCACCGAACCGCGCCCCGAGGCGCGTTTTTTTTTTTTAGCGACCCGTCGTGTCGCCCCTAGCGGACCGTTGCGCCGCCCTTCCCCTCGCGGCTCCGCCGCCCTTCCCTAGCGGCCCCGCCGCCCTTCGATCGCGGCCCCGCCGCCCTCTGCTACGCGGCCCCGCCGCCGCCCTTCGATCGCGGCCCCGCCGCCCTCGGCTACGCGGCCCCGCCGCCCTCTGCCTCGCGGCCCCGTCGCCCTCTGCTACGCGGCCCCGCCGCCCTCCGCTACGCGGCCCCGCCGCCCTCTGCTACGCGGCCCCGCCGCCCTTCGATCGCGGCCCCGCCGCCCTTTGCCACGCGGCCCCGCCGCCCTCTGCTACGCGGCCCCGCCGCCCTCTGCTACGCGGCCCCGCCGCCCTTCGATCGCGGCCCCGCCGCCCTCTGCTACGCGGCCCCGCCGCCCTCTGCTACGCGGCCCCGCCGCCCCCTGCTACGCGGCCCCGCCGCTCTTTTCGGTCGCGGCCCCGCCGCCACTCTGCTACGCGGCCCCGCCGATCCGCCCAGCAGCAGCCGCCGCCGCCTGAGCCTCCGCCGAGCCGCCGCCGAGCCGCCGCCGAGCCGCCGCCGAGCCGCCGCAGAGCCGCCGCCGAGCCGCCGCCCGAGCCGCCGCCGAGCCGCCCGTGACGCCCGAGCCGCCCGCGCCGCCCAGCAGCAGCCGAGCCGCCGCCGAGCCGCCGCCGCTTGAGCCGCCGCCGAGCCACCGCCGAGCCGCCGCCGAGCCGCCGCCGAGCCGCCGCCCGAGCCGCCGCCGAGCCGCCTGTGCCGCCCGAGCCGCCCGCGCCGCCCGAGCCGCCTGCGGAGCCGTACTGCTGTTCCTCTGCTGCTGACCTACCCGCCTCTCCCAGCCCGGTGAGATTTTCAGCTGCTGTCATGGCCACCCCCAATGTTCTTACCTTTGACGCTGAGGGGAGGGCCGTTGACTTTGCCGTCTGGATTGAAGACCTGCAGCTGTACTTACTGTGTGATGCGATAGATGAGGTCTCTCTCTTTGACTTTGTCTCTGGCGCTGTCCCTGCCCCACCTGCTGATGCTGACTCTGCCGTTCGCTCCAAGTGGGCGACCCGCGATGCTGCTGCACGTCTTGCTGTGCGTCGCCACCTCCCTTCCTCTGAGCGTGCCCACTTTAGTCAGTGCAAGACCGCTCAGGCCTTGTACGACGCTGTAGTTGCACGCTACTCCTCCCCTTCCTCCGCTACCCTTAGCCGCCTCATGCTACCGTTTCTCTTCCCTGACCTCGCTTCCTTTCCCACTGTCGCTGACCTCGTTACCCACCTCCGTGCTAGTGACACCCGCTACCGCGCTGCCCTTCCTGCTGAGTTCCGCGCTGCGAACCCTCCTCCCATGTACATCACTCTCTACTTTCTCGTCACCCGTCTCCCTGAGTCCCTTCGTGTTGTTAGGGACCAGTTTCTCTCTGTCTGTCCCACCACTCTCACTGTCGACCTCCTTGAGGAGTCCCTGCTAGCGGCTGAGAAGAGTATTGTCGCTGTAGGGGCCTCTCGGGGTGACCCTCGCACCCCCATCTTTGAGGGGTGTGGTCCTTCCCCCCTGCTGCCCTCTGTCGCCTCTGCCGCTGCGGCCGACCTCACTGGTTTTGAGTCGGTCGGCGCGGCGTCTGCCCCCAGCGGCAGGCGCCGCGCTGGCAAGGGCAAGGGGGCCAAGGGAGCGGGTGGAGCTAGAGGGGGCGGTGGAGGAGGCGGTGGGGGTGGCGGGGGGAGTGGGGGTGGCGGTGGGGGTGGTGGTGGGAGTGGAGGTACTGGTGGCGGCGGTGGAGGCGGAGATGGCGGCGGAGGTGGTAGCGGAGGAGGCGGTGGGAGCGGTGGGAGCGACGGTCCTGGTGGGGGAGGTGGAGGTGGAGACGGGGGTGGCGGTGGAGGCGGGGGTGGCAGTGGAGGCGGGGGTCGGAGTGGCTCGTCCCAGCGGAGCAGCTCCGGGGGTGGTCAGCGCCAGCAGCAGCAGCAGCAGCAGCCGCAGCAGCAGCCACAGCAGCAGCAGCAGCGCTCTCGCACCGTCCCCGCCCCTCAGCAGCTCCGTGAGTGGTACTCGCAGCGTCAGCGTGGTGGTGCGCTTGGTCCTTGCCCCTACGTTCTCCGCACCGGTGACCGTGCAGGGGAGAGGTGTGAAGGCGCCCACACTGCCCGCCGCTGCTTTGGCCGCCTGACTGACGCCTGGCGTCAGCAGTTTCCGGAGGCAGCTGAGATCCCCCGCTGGGGAGAGCTGTCTAGGGCTGGTGTAGCTATTTATGATCTTGATTTTGATGCTATTCTCTCTGCTATGTATGCTGCGATTGGTAGTGATGAGGATGACTGTTACCGGTGTTTCCCGCCCGACCCGGGCATTGGTACTGCCGCGTCAGGTACTAGTGAGGCTGCTGCTCTGGGTGCCAGTGCGTCTGTGCTCTCAGGTGCTGGTGAGTCTGCCCTCTCAGGTACTGTGTCGGCTTCGGCTACGAGCTGCACTCTCTCGACTTCAGCACAGCTTTCTTGCAGGGCAGCCTGCACGAGGAGATCTGGCTGCGTCGCCCACCTGGCTTCACTGGGTCTTTCCCTCCTGGTACCCAGTGAAGTCTCCGGCGTCCAGTCTACGGTCTCCGCCAGGCGCCACGTGAGTGGCACGACACACTGAGGACTACGCTCGCGGCACTTGGGTTTGCTCCTTCCACTGCCGACCCGTCGCTGTTTCTGCGCACCGACACCTCTCTGCCGCCGTTCTACATCCTCGTGTACGTCGACGACTTGGTCTTTGCCACAGCTGACACTGCTGGACTCGCCTACGTGAAGTCCGAGCTGCAGAAGAGACACACGTGCACTGACCTGGGTGAACTGCGCAGCTACCTTGGCTTGCAGATCACCCGGGACAGAGCACGCCGCACCATTACCCTGACTCAGTCACACATGGTGCAGCAGGTCCTTCAGCGCTTCGGCTTCACGTACTCCTCGCCTCAGGCCACTCCTATGGCTGCACAGGAGTTACGCTGGCTCACCTACCTGCTGACCGACCTTGGAGAGCAGCCTCGTTCTCCTCCAGTCCTGTACGTAGACAACAAGGCCATGCTGGCCTTGTGTCGAGAGCAGCGACTGGAGCACAGAACGAAGCACATTGCTCTTCGCTACTTTCTTGCTCGTGAGCTACAGCAGCGTGGACAGCTGCGACTTGCGTACGTGGCCTCTGAGGCCAACACTGCTGATGTCTTCACCAAGGCACTTGCGCCTTGTGATCATCAGCGTTGCTGCACGCAGTTGGGTCTTGTGCCTGTCTTGCCTCACTTGCTCTCCTCTTGACCTTGCTTGTACTTTCGCATATATATACTCTTGCTCTTGTATATCTCTATATATGATCTTGCATGTAAACTGGCCTTGTGGCCTTTGAACTTGTGCTCGGAATGCGTGGTGACTTTGTGATCCACCCTGAGCTTTGCTTTGCTTTGCTTGACTGGTCTTGTGACCCCTTGTTCTCCCCCACTTTGCCTATGGGGGTGTGTCAGAACTTATAGCTTACTTGTTTCTGTAGGCTATAGTGGGGTATCCCATAGGGGGTACAACCCAATTAGGGTTTCCTATTTGTACTCACTTCGTTCATAGTCATTTCATTCTCGTTCTTTGTTTCCACACGTTCGTATGCTTGTGTCCGGACGCATGCTTGTGTCCGGACGCATGCTTGTGTCCGGACGCATGCTTGTGTTTGGACGCATGCTTGTGTCCGGACGCATGCTTGAGTCGGGACGCATGCTTGTGTCCGGACGCATGCTTGTGTTTGGACGCATGCTTGTGCCAGGGCGCATCTTGTGTCTGGACGCATGCTTGTGTCCGGACGCATGCTTGTGTGCGGACGCATGCTTGTGTCCGGACGCATGCATGTGTCCGGACGCATGCTTGTGTTTGGACGCATGCTTGTGCCCGGTCGCATGCTTGTGTCCGGACGCATGCTTGTGTCCGGTCGCATGCTTGTGTCCGGACGCATGCTTGTGTTTGGACGCATGCTTGTGTCCGGACGCATGCTTGAGTCGGGACGCATGCTTGTGTCCGGACGCATGCTTGTGTTTGGACGCATGCTTGTGCCCGGTCGCATGCTTGTGTCCGGACGCATGCTTGTGTCCGGACGCATGCTTGTATCCGGACGCATGCTTGTGTCCGGACGCATGCTTTTGTCCGGACGCATGCTTGTGTCCGGACGCATGCTTGTGTCCGGTTGCATGCTTGTGTCGGGACGCATGCTTGTGTCCGGTCGCATGCTTGTGTCCGGACGCATGCTTGTGTCCGGACGCATGCTTGTGTCCAGACGCATGCTTGTGTCCGGACGCATGCTTGTGCCTGGACGCATGCTTGTGTCCGGACGCATGCTTGAGTCCGGACGCATGCTTGTGTCCGGTCCCATGCTTGTGTCCGGACGCATTCTTGTGTCCGGACGCATGCTTGTGTCCGGACGCATGCTTGGGTCCGGACGCATGCTGGGGTCCGGACGCATGCTTGTGTCCGGACGCATGCTTGTGTCCGGACGCATGCTTGTGTCCGGACGCATGCTTGTGTCCGGACGCATGCTTGTGTTTGGACGCATGCTTGTGTTTGGACGCATGCTTGTTTCCGGACGCATGCTTGTTTCCGGACGCATGCTTGTGTCCGGTCGCATGCTTGTGTCCGGACGCATGCTTGTGTCCGGACGCATGCTTGTGTCCGGACGCATGCTTGTGTCCGGACGCATGCTTGTGTCCAGACCCATGCTTGTGTCGGACCCATGCTTGTGTCCGGAAGCATGCTTGTGTCCGGACGCATGCTTGTGTCCGGACGCATGCTTGTGTCCGGACGCATGCTTGTGTCCGGACGCATGCTTGTGTCCGGTCGCATGCTTGTGTCCGGTCCCATGCTTGTGTCCGGACGCATGCTTGTGTCCGGACGCATGCTTGTGTCCGGTTGCATGCTTGTGTCGGGACGCATGCTTGTGTCCGGTCGCATGCTTGTGTCCAGACGCATGCTTGTGTCCGGACGCATGCTTGTGTCCAGACGCATGCTTGTGTCCGGACGCATGCTTGTGCCTGGACGCATGCTTGTGTCCGGACGCATGCTTGAGTCCGGACGCATGCTTGTGTCCGGTCCCATGCTTGTGTCCGGACGCATTCTTGTGTCCGGACGCATGCTTGTGTCCGGACGCATGCTTGGGTCCGGACGCATGCTTGGGTCCGGACGCATGCTTGTGTCCGGACGCATGCTTGTGTCCGGACGCATGCTTGTGTCCGGACGCATGCTTGTGTCCGGACGCATGCTTGTGTTTGGACGCATGCTTGTGTTTGGACGCATGCTTGTTTCCGGACGCATGCTTGTTTCCGGACGCATGCTTGTGTCCGGTCGCATGCTTGTGTCCGGACGCATGCTTGTGTCCGGACGCATGCTTGTGTCCGGACGCATGCTTGTGTCCGGACGCATGCTTGTGTCCAGACCCATGCTTGTGTCGGACCCATGCTTGTGTCCGGAAGCATGCTTGTGTCCGGACGCATGCTTGTGTCCGGACGCATGCTTGTGTCCGGACGCATGCTTGTGTCCGGACGCATGCTTGTGTCCGGACGCATGCTTGTGTCCGGACGCATGCTTGTGTCCGGTCGCATGCTTGTGTCCGGACGCATGCTTGTGTCCGGACGCATGCTTGTGTTTGGACGCATGCTTGTGTCCAGACGCATGCTTGAGTCGGGACGCATGCTTGTGTCCGGACGCATGCTTGTGTTTGGACGCATGCTTGTGCCCGGTCGCATGCTTGTGTCCGGACGCATGCTTGTGTCCGGACGCATGCTTGTGTCCGGACGCATGCTTGTGTCCGGACGCATGCTTGTGTCCGGACGCATGCTTGTGTCCGGACGCATGCTTGAGACCGGTCGCATGCTTGTGTCTGGACGCATGCTTGTGTCCGGACGCATGCTTGTGTCCGGACGCATGCTTGAGTCCGGTCGTATGCTTGTGTCCGGACGCATGCTTGTGTCGGGAACGCATGCTTGTGTCCGGACGCATGCTTGTGTACGGACGCATGCTTGTGTCTGGACGCATGCTTGTGTCCGGACGCATGCTTGAGACCGGTCGCATGCTTGTGTCCGGACGCATGCTTGTGTCCGGACGCATGCTTGTGTCCGGACGCATGCTTGAGTCCGTTCGTATGCTTGTGTCCGGACGCATGCTTGTGTCCGGACGCATGCTTGTGTCCGGACGCATGCTTGTGTTTGGACGCATGCTTGTGTCCGGACGCATGCTTGAGTCGGGACGCATGCTTGTGTCCGGACGCATGCTTGTGTTTGGACGCATGCTTGTGCCCGGTCGCATGCTTGTGTCCGGACGCATGCTTGTGTCCGGACGCATGCTTGTGTGCGGACGCATGCTTGTGTCCGGACGCATGCATGTGTCCGGACGCATGCTTGTGTTTGGACGCATGCTTGTGCCCGGTCGCATGCTTGTGTCCGGACGCATGCTTGTGTCCGGTCGCATGCTTGTGTCTGGACGCATGCTTGTGTTTGGACGCATGCTTGTGTCCGGACGCATGCTTGAGTCGGGACGCATGCTTGTGTCCGGACGCATGCTTGTGTTTGGACGCATGCTTGTGCCCGGTCGCATGCTTGTGTCCGGACGCATGCTTGTGTCCGGACGCATGCTTGTATCCGGACGCATGCTTGTGTCCGGACGCATGCTTTTGTCCGGACGCATGCTTGTGTCCGGACGCATGCTTGTGTCCGGTTGCATGCTTGTGTCGGGACGCATGCTTGTGTCCGGTCGCATGCTTGTGTCCGGACGCATGCTTGTGTCCGGACGCATGCTTGTGTCCAGACGCATGCTTGTGTCCGGACGCATGCTTGTGCCTGGACGCATGCTTGTGTCCGGACGCATGCTTGAGTCCGGACGCATGCTTGTGTCCGGTCCCATGCTTGTGTCCGGACGCATTCTTGTGTCCGGACGCATGCTTGTGTCCGGACGCATGCTTGGGTCCGGACGCATGCTTGGGTCCGGACGCATGCTTGTGTCCGGACGCATGCTTGTGTCCGGACGCATGCTTGTGTCCGGACGCATGCTTGTGTCTGGACGCATGCTTGTGTTTGGACGCATGCTTGTGTTTGGACGCATGCTTGTTTCCGGACGCATGCTTGTTTCCGGACGCATGCTTGTGTCCGGTCGCATGCTTGTGTCCGGACGCATGCTTGTGTCCGGACGCATGCTTGTGTTCGGACGCATGCTTGTGTCCGGACGCATGCTTGTGTCCAGACCCATGCTTGTGTCGGACCCATGCTTGTGTCCGGAAGCATGCTTGTGTCCGGACGCATGCTTGTGTCCGGACGCATGCTTGTGTCCGGACGCATGCTTGTGTCCGGACGCATGCTTGTGTCCGGTCGCATGCTTGTGTCCGGTCCCATGCTTGTGTCCGGACGCATGCTTGTGTCCGGACGCATGCTTGTGTCCGGACGCATGCTTGTGCCTGGACGCATGCTTGTGTCCGGTCGCATGCTTGTGTCCGGACGCATGCTTGTGTCCGGACGCATGCTTGTGTTTGGACGCATGCTTGTGTCCAGACGCATGCTTGAGTCGGGACGCATGCTTGTGTCCGGACGCATGCTTGTGTTTGGACGCATGCTTGTGCCCGGTC